GAGGGTGAAGAAGAGGACCTTCACCAAGGAGCTATTATGTGATGCTGTTTTCCTTACCCCCCAACTGAGAGGCATGACGAATGTGTCTTCTGAAGAGCAGGCGTTGGAGCCAGATGGCCTTGTGAAAAAATAAGCCAATCTATGCTTTGGAATGTTCTAATGTGGAAACCCATATCCAAGCATGGGCTATGAAAAATATTATCTTTGCTATGTTTAGAAGCAACCACCATCTTTCTCTGAGTAATAAGCCTAATGTTCAGACTTATGACTCAAGCACTGTAAGTGAATGAAACTTTATCAGATTAATATTTTCAAAATATTATCCCTATTGCACTTGCAGTCTCGCTCGGGATAACTCTGCCAAGAGGGAGTCATTTGCTGGAGGGAGTTACAAATGAAGAGGAGAGAGGGCCTTGGGGGTGGCGGTGAAGGCAGAGAGCTTGCTGGCCACTGGGCCAACCTCTTACAGCTATAGAACAACCTGTGAGGACTTAAAGCACCTCAGATGGCCAGGCTCTTTGATCCCCAAACACAGCAACCACAGTGAGAGGCCCACAGGGATGCTTTAAGAACACCTGTGACTGCCCGCGTGGCTCAGTGGTTGAATGTTGACCTATGAACCAGGAGATCACGGTTTGATTCCCGGTCAGGGCACATTTCGGACTTGATCCCCAGTGGGGGGAGGGGCGGGGGGGGCGTGCAGGAGGCAGCCGATCAGTGATTCTCTTTCATCATTGATGTTTCTATCTCTCTCCCTCGCTCTCTGAAATCAATAAAAAATATATTAAGCCCTGACAGGTTTGGCTCAGCAGATAGAGCGTCGGCCTGCCGACTCAAGGATCCCAGGTTCAATTCCGGTCAAGGGCATGTACCTTGGTTGCGGGCGCATCCCCAGTGGGGAGTGTGCAGGGGGCAGCTGATCGATGTTTCTCTCTCATCGATGTTTCTGGCTATCCCTCTCCCTTCCTCTCTGTAAAAAATCAATAAAATATATTTAAAAAAAATATATATATATTAAACAAAACAAAACAAAACACCTGTGACCAATGTTGTCCAAAGAAGAATTCTGTATAGTTGTGTTTTAAAAGATTTTTTTTTGGGGGGGGGGTCCCCTCTGCTTAAAAGTCTTGTCCTCATGGTTCTGTTTAATACCAGAAACATCTACATTTTGGAATGTCCCTATGATCACACATCTGGGTCTTAAGGCAGCTAGATCCAGGCCTTGATGTGAGAAGGAAAAAACAAAAGAGAGAACAGTAATACTATTGAATATCATTTAGCATACACTCCCTATCTGTGATACTGTGATCAAGGAAATATATATTTGGTCTTTGTCCCATTCTGGGCACATCTAGCAGTTCTTCTTTATCCACAGGGGATATGATCCAAGACCCCAGCGGATGCCTGAAAACACAGGTAGTACCCCTAAATATACTATCCTACACAGACACACATACCTGTTCACTTTAAAGACGCACTTTATAGCTTCTCTTTGGCATATCCAAATTGCCAGCATCGCTACTCTTGTACTTTGGGGCTTTATTATTTTTCCATTTTGCTTTTGGAACATATGATGTAGTTTAAAAAGCTGCCCATGTCAGCCCCCAAAGTTGCTCATCTGAAAGTAATTCCAGTTGAGTAATGTAATGATTGAAACATTTCAGAGCTTTTTCCAGGGCGTCCAAACTCTTCACATGGCTTAGAAATTCTGCATCGCTTCCGACTGTTCCCAGCTGTTGGGAAGCCTTGACCAAGTCTCTCCGTAGCTCCAAAGGGGTTTTCATACCTTTAACTTCTTTAAAATATTTTTCAGTTGATCTTATAATCAGGCTCTGATTGCAGCACAATACCAGAGACAGGAACAGTCCAAGGAGGGTAAATACTATTGTAAACATTCGTGGAATCATCTGGTGGGAGAATTTTTGAACCTGGAGTCTGGGAACATCTAAAATTCTTTCTGAAGACCTGACAGGATTTTGCTGAGAAGATTAATGGGAAGAAAACTGCATGGGAAAAGGCTGTAGAGGTTGTCACCATGACTTCCTGTCTGCTTATTAGGAATAAAAAAAAGTAATTAATAGTAATTGTGAATTAAATGTATAATTCATGAGTCCAGAAAAGTTGATCCTTAGCTAAATGGATAGTGTCCTAATTCAGGGAGCAAATATCCTGTCACCCACCAAGATGACTCTATGGCTAAGGCTCTCATAGCAGAGCAGGCTCCACCGTGTACTGTCAGGGTGAAGGCGTGCTCACCCTCAACAAATGCTTTTTTCCTTTCATTTTCTCTCCTTTCCCTCACTCTCAGAATTTGTCTATGCTTCTTCTATGTTCTAAACATGATTTTATAAAAGGGCTAAGGGCATTACTGATGTTAAGCTCTATTCAAGAGCTGGGCATAAGAAGAAAACTATTCAGGGCAGAATTTCAGAAAACACAGACCCAAAGGACTTCATTCCTAGCCGAATTCTCATATGGCTCCTCAGCCCAGGAATTAGGGTGTTTGGGGGAAACCATTATGGATGCTGACCTCGCTTTTACTGTGCATCACTGAGCAACTCCCAGTGTTCAGAAAGCACCTCAGACGGCCATATTTTAGAATCCCTTCAAGGATTTTAGAAGTAGAGATAGGTCTCACCAATTATAGTCTCTTCAGTCAACTGTTCCTGCCCCCCCCCCTCCCCGCCCTTCCAGGTATAATAAAGCACATGATTTGATTCACTTACTTTTTTAAGTACTTGTACAACTTAGAATTTCATGGATTTCCAGACCATATATTTTGAAGGTCAAGACTTGTTACTGTTTTACACATGTTCTGCCTGCTGTTCAATAGGCATTTATTTATCTTGTCTGGAAGGATGTTTATTATTCTTGTATCTCCAGAGAGTATCAAGTCTTGCTTCATTATTTGTATATGTGTCCACTGGTTTTGGTTTATATGGTTAACAGGCAAAATGTTCAACTCAACAGAATTGAGGCAACTTGTTCTGCCAAAAAGAGCAAATAACTGAACTTCTAGAACAGTGGTTCTCAACCTTCCTAATGCCGTAACCTTTTAATACAGTTCCTCATGTGGTGACCCCCAATTTCATTGTTACAAATTGAACATAATTAAAGCATAGTGATTAATCACAAAAACAAAATGTAATTACATATGTGTTTTCCGATGGTCTTAGGCGACCCCTGTGAAAGGGTTGTTCGACCCCCAAAGGGGTCGTGACCCACAGGTTGAGAACCTCTGCCAAAACCAAAGGCCTTGGGAATGCTTTGGTCTTTCAGTAATCCTATATAATAAAAGCCTAATATGCAAATCAACGAATGACGGAACAACTGGTGGAACAACTGGTCACTATGATGCGCACTGACCACCAGAAGGCAGACACTCAATGCAGGAGCTGCCCCCAGGCCACCCAAGGCAGGTGCCAGTGGGGGACCCCCCCAATCACCCCACCGGAAGCCCCAAAGATCGGCCCTGATCGCCGGCCAGGCCTAGGGACCGTACCCATGCACGAATTTCATTCATTGGGCCTCTAGAGATAATATGATTTCTTGAAAATAAGCAGGACAAGCAATAATGCAGTTTTTTTAAGTGACCTAAATGTCAGGTCACAGTTACTCTTGGTCAATAACACACAAGCAAAAATATCCATAGAAGCTGCTGAGGATGTTAGACTATCCCTTAGGTGGGGGAACCATTTGTGAAGTAAATATGCTTTTGGTGTTTCTGGATTTTGTTCTCTTTGGTTTGTCTTTTAATGTGCGGTGATACAGGAGAGAACCTCACCCATCATGAGCCTCCCAATGGCCTCATGTGGAAAACAACAACAAAACGAAACACAGGTAAAGAGTTCGAAGCACAAGATACATGAAAGCAATCCTGAAGTCTTAGAAACAGAGTTTGAATATTTTCTTTGGTTTTCACTTTTTTTACTTTAAGAATAGAAACCCACAAATAGGATTATTTATGAAAACTATAACTCCAAGGCCTGCTTCAGCCATGACTGTAAGAGCACCTTTCTTAGATCTGAGTTCTTTTCAGAAAATTCTGAGAGGTTGTGTAACATTGAATGCTTTCAAGGCTCAAATCAGGAGTCAGAAAACAAACAACTCTGGGACTCATTTAAATTTAAAAATTTCTAGCATATTTGCCTTAAACCCATTCCATGGTCACGAGAGCAGTGAAATTTTATTTCACCGTAGACCCCTCCTCTTGGGCTAACTCTACGTGGAAGGCAATTGTGATGAACAATAGGTAACCGTTGTTATCCAGCCCTGTTCTCAACAAATGCAAAGAACGAGGAAGCAGAAACAAAGAGATTCGGGCAACAAAACCAACCACAGCCAACATTTATTCTTGATTTTTGTCACGACTTCTTTCGTGCTTCCTTATTTTCCTCCACACATTAAATATACAACAACCAAAAACTTTATTAATATACACATAAAGAAAACATGGGCAGCATGCAAGTGTAGTAGGTAGTACGTAAACCCAGCCAGGGGCTGTTTCTGCCGTGGGCCTCTCTGTGGTCTGTGGAGGGCTTGTGGCGCTCCCAAGTAGAAGAACCGCAAACGAAGAGCAACACGTGCCACAGTGAACTAAAGAAGACTAACAACACCCAAGAGTTTCTGTTCAAACTAAGGGACAAAATTCATCTTTTAATTTTAAATAAAACTTCACTTTGTTTTTTTTCTCCAACAAATGTTTTTAAATTAGTGAAATACTAAAGGAGAAAGGAAGGAGACGAAGGATGGATAAGAAGCATAAACTGAATCCAGGAAGTTCTGTGGTGGATGACTGATAAATCTCCTTGATAAAGAAAAAAAAAACCCAGACTATTTCATCATCCCATCTTTCCCTAAAGGGGAAAAACACATATATTTTGTTTTGGGATAAATAGCTAAGGCTTTTGCAGAGGGGAAAGTATTGTGAGAAAATGGAAAATATCTCTGATGTCTATAGCACACGAAATACCTAAAAGTTATAAAATATTAAAGGGCAAGAAGGCATATCTGTAAAAAATTATAGTGCATATGTTGGATGAAAAGCAAAAATTGTGGGATTAAATGGTGGTGTTATCCAATGGCACTTGGGACAAATATTTCTTTTCAAATTCAGTTTCTCAGAGGTGTGGCTTCAGATCCCTGAGCACTTTCAACATTATCTTTGCCTTTATTCTTCTTCAGTCGTATAAACACAACTGTTAAAATTACACCTGAAAGAGAAAACTCAGGGTCAAATAGATGGAATCTTAAAATGTACTGTCACATTTATTTATAAAGCAGTAAGTACCCTGGTAGGAAAAAGTGACTCATACAACTTCATTTATGCTTGTGGTTCAACAAAATTGTTTTTTTTTTTTTTTTAATATATTTTTTATTGATTTTTTTTTACAGAGAGGAAGGGAGAGAGATAGAGAGCTAGAAACATCGATGAGAGAGAAACATCGATCAGCTGCCTCGAGAAAACTCAGGGTCAAATAGATGGAATCTTAAAATGTACTGTCACATTTATTTATAAAGCAGTAAGCAGTCCTCAGGCCGACGCTCTATCCACTGAGCCAAACCGGCCTCGGCACAACAAAATTGTTTTGTCCTGGTGAAAAGGGGATTGTAGGCCTTGACCTTCTTGGATAAGTAAGCTTATCACTTTTCTTATTGTCAGTAAGTATGCACCAAGTCCTAAATCATAGCTAAGCTGGTAGCTATTGCTTGGTCTCTATCAAAGAATATAGAGTCTAATACCTGCACTACTCTGAAAATTAAGTGTGTAAGCATCAGACAGAGTTCCTGAGCTTTGTACATAGTCAATAAATGTTGATTCCAGTCTTTCATCCCTTTCCACAGAAGAAATAGTCCAATCAGAACAACCAGAAAGTTGTTCTCAGACGTGCTCACCTGCCTAGAGCCTACTTTCACTGTGTCCACATCAAATATCACATTTCTTTGTCACCTTCCTCATGGCTCCAGATTGAGACTATCTAACCTCTGAGATTTTCCCCATTTCTGAACTCCTTTAAAATTACATTGTGCCTTTTAAATGTGTACTACAAATCAGAGACCGATATGGAAAAGGGAGTAGTTGTTTTTTAATTAATATGCCATATTTAATTAATTAATATGCCATATTTAATATTTAATTAATATGGCAAGTTCACAGGAGGAATCCTGGCAGAAAAGACTGGATGCTCAGAGACCCATTTAGAAACTTAAACAAGGACCCTACCCTGGCAGGTGGCCCCTGGTGGCTCTGGAGCCCCTCCAAAGAAGTGCCCCAATCTGGGGGTGGGGAACCTACCCCCACACACCTCTGCCACCCACACCAGAGGCCTACATGCTACATCAGTGCATCAGCAGCAGTCGCAACTGAACACCACATCCAGCTGAGCCAGGGGTCTGTCCCGTCATGTAATCATGACAATTGTGCCACTGGGCCCCATAGAACACCTCTACATAAGGGCACTCTCAATGCTGTAAGACATGGCTGATCTACCTAATATGTACAGTAAACACAGAGACTTAGGCAAAAGAAGAGACCGAGGAATATGCTCCATACAAAAGTACAAGATAAAACCCCAGAAAAAGGACCCAATGAATGGAGATAAGCAATTTACCAGATAGAGTTCCAAGTAATGATCATAGGATGCTCACTGAGCTCAGAAGTATGGATATACACAGAAAGAACAAAAAGATAGAAAATGTAAGAGAGAACCAATAAGAACTGAAGAATACAAGAAACTGAGATGAAAAAATGCACAGAGGGAATCAATAGCAGATTAGCTGATGAAAAAACAAACAGATAAGTGATATGGAAGACAAAGTAATGGAAATCACCCAATTAAAACAGCAAAAAGAATAAAATAAATTAGGAGAGTATCAGAGACCTCTAGGACATCAAGTTTACTAACATTTGCATTAAAGAGGCTCCATAAGGAAAAGAAAAAGGACAGAAAACCTATGTGAAGAAATATCAGCTGGACAATCTCCCTAGCCTGGCAATGGAAACAGATAACCAAGCAGGGGTGGGGAACCTTTTTTCTGCCAACGGCCATTTGGATATTTATAACATCATTTGTGGGCCATTTAAAAAGAGCAAATAACTGAACTTCTAGTATATTTGCCTTAAACCCATTCCATGGTCACGAGAGCAGTGACTTATAATTTACCTTATAAATTAGCCTGCTATAGTTTGTCAAACATTTAATTAACTCACCCCTAATGCCTTGGCAGGGCCAGACCAAATGATTTCGAGGGCCTTATATGACCTGTGGGCCAGACATTCCCCAGCCCTGAACAGGAAGCACAGACAGTCCCAAACATGATGAACCCAAAGAGACCCACACGAATAATTTAAATGTCAAAAGTTAAAAACAAAGAGAAAAATCTTAAAAGTAGCAAGAGAAAAAAAGTTACAGACAAAGAAATCCCCATAAAAAATCAGCTGATTTTTCATCAGAAACTTTGCAGACCGGAAGGCAGTGGCACAATATATTAAAAGTGACGAAAGGAAAAACTTATAACCAAGAAATACTCCACCAGATAATCTTACCCTTCAGAACTGTAGGAGAGAAAATGAGTTTCTCAAACAAGCAAAAGCTAAAAGAGTTCATCACCACTGCACTGGCATTGCAAGAAATATTAAAGAAACTTCTGAGAGCAGAAAAGAAAAGGCTAAAACTAGATATAAGAAAATATATAAAAGGAAAAAATCTCACTAGCAGAGGCAAACATGTAGTAAAACTAGTGGATCAACCACTAATAAAGCTAATATAAATGTTAAAAAAACAAAAGCTGTGAAATCATTTATATCAACAATAATTAGTTAAGAGATACAAACATACACACACAAAGAAAGATATATAATGTCAAAAACATAACGTGGGTGAGGGATAGAGATGTAGTACTTTTAGAAAGCATTTGAACTTAAGCAATCAACAACTTAAAATAGACTATTATATACTATTATATAATCTCATGGTAACCACAAACCCAAACCTTTAATACATACACACAAAAATAGAGAAAGAAATCTAAATATAACACTAAAGAAATTCATCAAATCACAAGGGATGAAAGCAAGAGAAAAAGAAAGGAACAGAGAAGAACTACAAATATAACCAGAAAACAACAAACAAAATGGCAAAAAACACATACCTATCAATAATTACTTTAAATATAGACTAAATGCTCCAATCAAATGACAGAGGGGGGCTGAAAGGAAAACATATCAAGACCTATACATAATGTTGTCTACAAAAGACCCACTTCAGATATTTAGATATTCACAGACAAAGTGAAGGGATGGAAAAAGACATATGCAAATGGAAACTAAAAGAAAGCTGGGGTAGCAACACTTAGACAATATAGACTTTAAAACAAAGATTGTGAGATGAGACAAAGAAGGGCATCACATAATGATAAAGTGATTAATCCAACAAGAGGATGTAACACTTGTAGACATCTATGCACCTAATGTAGGAGCACCCAAATATGTAAATAAATAAAATACTAACTGACATAAAAAGAGAGATGGACAGTTATACAATTATAGTAGGGACTTTAATACCCCACTTTCATCAATGAATAGATCATCCAGAGAGAAAATCAACAAGGAAAATTTGACCTTAAAGGACATATTAGACCACATTAACTTAATAGATACATATTAACATATATATATTTTTAAGTGCATATGAAACATTCCCCAGGATAGAACACATGTAGATCACAAAACAAGTCTCAATAAACTTAAGAAGACTGAAATCATATCAGGCATCTTTTTTTACCACAACGGCATGAACTAGAAGTCTACAGTGGGGATAAAACTGGAAAAAACACAAATACATCCAGACTAACCAACATGCGTCTAAACTACCAAGGAATCAAATAGGAAATTAGAAACTATCTTGAAATAAATGAAAGCACAACTCTTTGAAATGTATGGGATGCAGCAAAAGTAGTTCTAAGAGGGGAGTTCACAGCTATAAAGGCTGACTTTAAAAAAAAGAAAGAAAGAAAAGAAAATCCCAAGTAAAAGTAAAAAATCTAACTCTAAACCCAAATGAACTAGGAAAGAAAGAACAAACCCAAAGTAAAGAGAAGGAAAAAATAATTAAGATTAGAGCAGAAATAAATGAAATAGGAATTTAAAGAAAAAAACTTAAAAAGAGGTGGTTCTTTGAGAAGAAACAAAATTGATAAAACTTTACCCATACTCAAAGATAAAAAGAGAAGTGGCCCAAAGAAATAAAATCAGATATAAAAGAGAAGGTGCAACTGAAACCACAGAAGTACAGAGGATCACAATAGATTACTATGAATTATAATTATACACCAACATTTATGCTTTATTTCCCAAAAGTAACCAATCAGGCAATGATGGGAAGAGGGTGATACTAAAACGGTACCTCCAACCAGGAAGGTTTGATATGGTTTACTGGTGATCTATATTCTTGGCTATAGCCCAGGTTACCATTTGAGCAGCCACCAGAGCAACCCATTAAGACAGACCCTTAGGTGAGCTGATGTTTCTCAGGACCAGAACAGAAATCCTTGAATCTGAGAGATTACACTCACCAATGACCAAAAATGTGGTCAGGAGTATGCCAACTGTCGCGCCCACAGTAGGTATCCCAGGCATATGACCTACTGGCCGGAAACACCTCCCTTCCACACACGAGCAGAAAGTGACTGAAAAGCAGAACAGGATTTAGTAGTTTAGGTTTTTGAGTAAACAATTGCAGAACCTCATATCAAAGGTGACACATCTTTCAAACTACGCTTGGAAACAGACACTATCCCAGGTTGTCTGCAGCAAAATGCCTACCTGATAAAGAGACAGTCGCCTCCAAGGGTGGCCGACCTCCATCGTTGATGCGGATTGGGACGTTATAAACTCTCTCCTCGAAGCTGGTGTGTTTGGTGGAGAGTCTGGCATGAGTGCCTGTCAGAATAGCGGTAAAATGAATGGCAACTTCAGTACCCAGATCAGCAGGAATCAAGCTCATATTTGTATCACATACTGAGGGTGACTGGGAAACGGTTAAATATGAGTTAAATTGCCCTAACTGGTTTGGCTCAGTGGATAGAGCATCAGCCTTCGGACTGAAGGGTCCCAGGTTCGATTCCAGTCAAGGGCATGTACCTTGGTTGTGGGCACATCCCCAGTAGAGAGTCTGGCATGAGTGCCTGTCAGAATAGGGGTAAAATGAATGGCAACTTCAGTACCTCTCCCTTCCTCTCTGTAAAAAAAAATCAATAAAATATATTTAAAATAAATAAATAAATAAATATGAGTTAAACTACCCAAAGTATCTCCACTCCACATGTACCTTCCATTATGTCAAAAGGAGTTAATGCATTTTTCAAGTCCTCAGTTTATGATTTAGAAACAAATACTAAATACAGTCAGTTATCATAATCCCCAGCAGTTACATTCATAAAGTTGCCATGAACACTGAATGATAAAGAAAAAATATTTGAAGAAATTATTGCTAATTTCCCCACCCCCAAATTTAATAAAAACTAAATTCTCAATCCAAGAAAATCAGCAAATCTTAGGGGAAAGGAAAAAAAAACCACCACAACTATGAAAAGGCACATAATAATCAAATTGCTTAAAGTTAGTAATAAAGAGAAAATCTTTAAAGCATCCAGAGTAAAAAGACACATTACATTCAAGGGAACAAAAAAGAAAAAAATGCAATGCAGAATACAGTGGAGAAATCTTTAAAGTACTGGGGAAAAAAGGCTCAATAAATTGAAATGTATTTCAGTCAAATGTTCTCTGGTCATTATGGAATTAAATTAGAAATCAGTAACCAGAAAGATATAGAAAATACCCGAATATTGGGGAACTAAATAACACACTTCTAAATAACTCATGGGTCACAGAAGAAATGTAAAAAAAAAAAATTAGAAAGTATTTTAAACTGAATGAAAATGAAAACACAATACATAACTTTGTGGAATGCAGTTAAAGTGATACTAAAAGATAAGTTTATGGCACCAAATGCCTATATTAACAAAGAAAGAAGTTCTCGAGTTAATTACCTCAACTTCCACCATAATGAAAATAATACAAGAACAAGTTAAATATAGCATAAGAAGAATAAAGAAAATAATATATATCTACAAGCAATGAAATACAAAACAAAAACACAATAGAGAAAATCAATGAAATCAAAAGCTGGTTCTCTGAGAATATCAATAAAATGAATAGCCTTTAGCCAGATTGATCAGCGAAAAAAAAAAAGAGACATTATTTTCCAATATCAAAGTGAGGTCATACCACCACAAAGCCTAAAGATATGAAGAGAATAATAAAATAATATTACAAGTAACTTGTGCCAATAAATTAAATAAATCAAATGAAATAGACAAATTATTTGAAAGATGTAAACTACAAACTCAACCAAGAAGAAGTCTATAACTTGAATAGCCCTGTAATCTATTAAAGAAGTTGTATTTGTAGATAAAACTTTCTACAGGACAAATCTCCAGACAAATACCTTGGCTTGTTCCTGATCTTAGGGAGGAAGCTCTCCTCTTTCACCATCACGTCTAAAGTTAGCTGTGGGTTTTCACAGACGCCTTTTGTCAGGTTGAGGACTTTCTCTTCTATTCCTAACTCGCTGAGAGGGTTGTTTGCTTTTTAAAAATTAGGAATGGGTGTTAAAGTTTTCAAGTGCTTTTTTTTGCATCTATTGAGATGATTGTATGGTTGATTCGTGTGTGTGTGTGTGTGTAATTTGTTTGAAATTAAAATGCACTGTTGAAAATGAAAACGCAAGCCACCGCCTGGGAGAAAATGTTTGTAAACATGTACCTGACAGATCATGTGTATCTTTACTAGACAAAGAACGCTGATGACTCAACAATAGATGCCAAAGAGTCAATTTTTTAAAAATGGGCACAACATTTGTCCAGACACTTCACCAATGAAGATATATGAATGGTATATAAGTACATGAAAAAATGCTCACCATCATTAGTCACTAGGGAAATATTAATTAAAACCATCATGAAATACCATTACACTCCCACTAGAATGGCTAAAATTAAAGAGACTGAGCATAGCAAGTATTAAGGAGAATGCTGAGGACTCTCACACAATGGTGGGACTATAAAATGTTATAGACTACTTGGAAAGCAATGTGACGGTTTCTTTAAAATTTAACCATACAGCTACCATAGTACCCAGCATTGCACTTCTAGATATTTAATCAAGAAAATGGAAGTATATGCTCCAACAAAATACTTCTTCACAAATGTTCATTGCAGCTTTATTTGTAATAGCAAAAATTGGAAGTCGCCTAAATGACAATCAATTAGTGAGTGAATAACAGATTGTGATAGAGTCATACCATGGAATACTACTCTGCAATTAAAAAAAAAAGATGTATTGATACACACAACAACATGGCTAAAACCCAAAATAAATATGCTCAGTGAAATTAGCCGGATGAAAAAAGATTACATATTGTATTACTTTATTTTGATAAAATTCTTGAAAATGCAAACTAATCTATAGTAGATAGTAAGCAGATCAGTAGTTACCTGGTGATGGGGGAAAGGCAGAGTGGGCTGAAACTGGGGACTCTAACAGCGTGTAAAACTTTTTTTGAGGGGAGGGGAGTTGAAATAGAATTATCCTGATTGTGCTGACTGCATTCAATGGTGTTGACATATGTCAATTTTTATTTATTTATTTATTTTATTTTTCAATATATTTTTTTATTTCAGAGAGGAAAGGAGAGGGTTAGAGAGATAGAAGCATCAATGATGAGAGAGAATCATTGATCAGCTGCCTCCTGCACACCCCCTACTGGGGATCGAGCCTGTAACCTAGGCATGTGCCCTTGGCCGGAACTGAACCTGGGACCCTTCAGTCTGCAGGCCGATGCTCTATCCACTGAGCCAAACTGGTGAGGGCATATGTCAATTTTTATAAAATTGTATGCTTTAAATGTGTGCTGCTTATTGTATGTCAATTATCTATAATAATAAAAGTGTAATATGCTAATTAGACCAGATGACCCTCCAGATGAAACAAGGGCTGCGAGGGAAGCCGGGTCCTGGGTGCCAGAGGGAAGCCGGTGCCTGCAGCCAGGGGAAGGAAGGCCTACTCTTGCACGAATTTCGTGCATCGGGCCTCTAGTATTTCAATAAAGCTGTTTTTAAACATCATTATGAAATCTGTTTCTCAGCTGCCACTGGAAATTTTGCAAATGCTACTCAGATTATCCAACTATCCATCTCCATACACTACAGGGGTGGCTGTGTGTGAGCCATCTTTCCTCCCTCCAAAGCCTGGGGCTCTCTCCCCTCTGGGGAGCTCCCCTCTGCAAGTTCCCAAAGCAGGCGGCTCCTCCCTGGAGCCTGGGGAATGCCGTGTGCTGAGCGCTGCAGGCCCATCGAGGCACATAAAAGCCCATGCCATCATCCACCAGTGTTTTCCTCGATGTGCTTTTGACAACTCACCGTTGATTTTGGAAATTTCCCAGTCGTTTTGTAAGCTTTCGCTGCCAAGGGCAAATGTAAACTGAAATGAATGCAGATCATCGTCCCTCGCCTGGATGATGTGGCTTCCGGGCGCGCTGAGCGGGTGGCAGAAGAACAAGCCTGTGTACTCCTTCGCTAGCCGCGGGGGGTTGTCGTTCACGTCGGTCAGAGCCAGGTGGAACCCCGCTGCGGTGCTCAAGGAAGACCCACCTAGGGAATTGAGTGATTGAAAGGAATATCAGCTCTCTCATTTCCTCTTAGTAAGAAAGAATATTTCATTCTTTTTTTTAAAATTACAATTCAAGTTAGTTGGGTATATTGAGGTAGCAGAAAGATAACAAACGTTTAGAATCAGACCTGGTTAAAAAGCCTTCATGATAATAATAAGATTGATGTGCTAATGTCTTATAGACATTACTTCAAAACGGCTCTGATTTGCATTTGCAGGTAGAAGACTGAGGCCCAAAGAAGGTGTGTGACTTGTCCAAGGTCATACGGCAAGGAAAGCTTCCAGCCCAGGAGGCCTGAGGTCAGAGCCCACACCTTCCATTGCTCCTCAGCACTGACTCGGGCATGTCCGTTATGTTTTCTCAGCCTCGGTTATTCGGCTGCCATGCATGTGGCTCTGGGAGGACCCCACATGCCGCGTTCTTAGGAAAGAGTGAAGGGCTGCACAGTAGTTACTCTGGTAGGGGGGTGAGCAACTTGGACGCGGTAGCCTAGATGGTTGGTAGCTATGTGATCGTGAGCAAGCTGTGTAGCTGCTCAGTGCCTTGGTTTCCTCATTCATAAAATATGGTCGTTAACAGTACCTACTTCATAGGAGTAAGTCATCACACCGAGTGCTTCAAACACGGCTGTCAGTGCAACATAAAGACTATGTTCTCGTTCTCCCTGACTTCAACACAGATACTGTTTCTACAATTTCTAGCTCTAACCCGCTTTGATTACAGTGATCCCTGTCTTCTTGCTTTTCTTTTCAAATGTTTTCTATGCCCCTGACTACACTTGAAAAGCTACTGTGCTCTTGGGTCATTTCATCGATTATTTCAGGGATGCCAACTGCCAATTGGAGCAGGTTGTGAACCTGGTTTTGATTCATCGATCTGCTCAATGCGCAAGGCCTTTAGGACACATGCAGAGTGAAGTGAAACATCAAGATGAGAGAGAGAAACATCTCAGAGAGAGAGAAGCATCAATGATGAGAGAGAATCATCGATTGGCTGCCTCCTGCACGCCCCCGCCCCCACTGGGGGTCAAGCCCACAACCTGGGCATGTGCACTTGACCGGGATTGAACCTGGGACCCTTCAGTCCTGAGGCTGATACTCTATCCACTGAACCAAACCAGCCAGGGCTCCCTTCACTTTTGTATCCTTCTTGTTCTTCCACTCTAAGCTATTCTGACAATCTGACCCACTCACTTTCCCTCCCTCTTATTTCTATTGGTGTGTCCCCTATTAATTTGTTACTTTTTTTTTTTGCTCACCTACTTCAGTTGCCACCACTTGTACGCGATACAGACTTTCAGCTTCCCTGTCCAGTGGAGCCGCAGTGAAGATCTCGCCAGTGGCAGGGTCAATTCTCAGCCAGCCTCTCGTGTCGCCTCTCAGGGAATAACTTCATAAAGTGAAAAGAGCAACAGAAAGCCCATGTTACTTTATGTGGAAACGGGAGGATAGTTTATGCATCACTATGCTGTTATGTCCACATTATCCCTTGCGTATTATTTATGGCATATTTTAAAGATCATTATGTAATACTATTAATGCTTTATTTGCATATCTTCTATCTTCATATCTTCAAAACGGGGATTTGCTCATCTTTACAAAGCGGTAGTTGTACTTGTTTCATTAGAAAATGTATAGCCACAAACTCAGGGGGAAAAACAGGTAAGCTTTTCTGGCAATCAAAGAATTCTAATGAAAACAACCTGGAAACATCTTTTAAAATGGATTAGTAAACCACCCTTCTAAGAAAACCTGAGATGTTGTGTGAATGGGTGGATACTCGGAGGCCACTGGTGGCCCCGTGAACTCTTTCATTCAACAAACATCTACTGAGTGTTTAGCAAACATCAGGCAGACAGATTACAAAAAGAGGCTCCTGGGCCAGTAGAGGAGACACACAGAGATAAATAACTCCAATGGAAAGTGGTAAAGACAGTGAAAGGGACCCTATGGAGCCCCAGAGAAGTTCATGGGAATCAGAGCAGCCTTTCTGAAGGAGTAGCTGAGGCAAGAAAAGGAGCTGCTTTGAGCAGAAGGGACTGCACGTGCTGTCACTTGGAGGCCAAGGAATAGCTTGCCCTGTGGGAGAGTCAGGCGCTGCAGCAGTGTCGGGGTAAAGATGGGAAGCCATGGATGGAAAAGACGAAGCCAGAGAGCCTGGAACGAGCCAGATCGTGGGAAGCAGTGGGCAGCCTTGGAATGGTGTTCAGCAGGAAGGCAACCTAGTCATATTGGTGTTACCAGTGGCACTCACTGGTAGGTGTGTCAGATGAATTTGAGAGAGACAAGACTAGAACCACAGGAAAAACAATTGGTACAGCCCTCTGTGGAGCAACACATCATAGCCATAGGTGGTTCATTTCTTTAGACCAAAGCATTTCACCTCTGGAAATTTTCCCTCAACAAAAACAATTTAATCGAAGTGATAAAAGAATTAGATGCATACAAACATGCAAAACATTTTATATAATAAAAAAATACTGAACACAACCTACATGCTCAAGAAAAGATAATGATTAAAAAGTTATGATGTGTTAGTTCAGCAAATTATTTTTTCCAATTATAGTATATTCTATATGCCAAGCACTGTGATGGCTTGTGTGTGCACAAGAAACCCTATGTAACCAGGATTTCATCCCTGAGTGAGATGGGAACCCTTTGGAGGGCTCTCAGAGGAGTCATGTGATCTGATTTCCATTTTTAAAGGACTATTCTGATTGTAGTAAATAGACTCAGTGTGGGGCAAGGATGAATCCAGAAAAGAGATGATGGTGGCCTGAACCATGGCGAAAGTAATGAGAAGCACTGCATTCTGGATGTATTTCAATGAAAAAATCTCTAATCTTTACTGGTGGATTGGATTAGGATTCATGGGGTGTTGATGGTTTATAAGTTTATGGAGCTGAGAGAAAGAATTAACTTATTCAGGCCAAAATCTTTGGAGTCATCTTAATTCTTAACTGACTTATCACTAGCCTCTGAACTGCTCATTGTTCTTTATTCTTAAAAACACTTTTCTCATTTGTCCTCCAAGACTGTTTCTTACAGGACGCTGTCCTCAGTCTTCTTCCTCACCTTTCTAATCTCATTTAATAGTATATACACTCTATCTCTTCCTTGATCTATCTGAGAGTTTTTTTAAATGCCTTTGTTTCCCCACTCATAAACTCGAATTTTATTCTCTTGCCTTTGACTAATGATTTTTACAGCATTCTCATGAAGGAGGAAGAAGCAGGTGTTAACCAAGAAATGGTTGTAAAATTATAAACGTGTCCCTCATCAGAATTTGTGACTCTGATGTATAGAGTGTATCTATCCAAACCATGCAGTATAGCCCCCACTGTACTTTCCTTCTTTATAAAACTAGAGAAGGGCTAAACTAGAAGACTAAAACAGTAGGTGAGAACTTCACTCCTTGACAGACAATCAGAAAAAGGCCTTAGCACTGATTCCCAGTGCGTAAATGACAGCTTGTTGGGAGACAAGATTCCCCTCACATGTTTAGAGAAACTTAAAGAATTGTCATCATAACCATATGCATTGGTTATGCCTTATACGGTGAGACTGTCATACAATAGAGGCAAAAGATCCGGGTTCTAGTCCTGTTTATGTGCTCATTAACTATGTGAACTTAAAGAGGTTATATATATTGACACAGATAGAGATATATACACATACATATATTTCTTGGGCAAATTAATGATCATTGTACATTTTTAAGGCAAGTCTTTGTGAATCCTATTGTACTGGGGGGGGAAAAAAGCTTGCGAATTGCTAAGATTTATACATTTGTTTAACCACCTCGGCCTGAACGCTAGCCTCGCCAGAGGTGTGCTCTGGAATGGGTCGTGTTACCCCAGACCTACTCTCTGGAGAGGTAAGGAACCTGTACACTCTGCATCCAGAATGTTCCCTTAGTTGTGTCAGGTGGCTGAGTCTGTCCAGTTGGGCTTTTGCTTCATTCTCTCTGTCTAGACCTCCAGTCAACCTTAGAGGCTGGGCTGGAACTCTCCCCCAAACCCTGGCCGTGGGGACTGGTTCAGACACAGGATCTGGCTTTGGGTAGCCCCGTCTCTGGACCCCATCTCCTGAACCTACCAGCTCTCAGTGGGACCTGCAGTGAGTGGGCCGGATGCAACCTGACATGCTTCCCACTTGTCTGAGCCTGGATTCCCCCCACTCCCCACGCAGGGTACTGACCCCTGCAGGAACCAAGGTCAAGTTCACCATATGCACTGCAGATGGCTTCAAATCGCTGGCTGCTCCCTTAGGAGAGAGCCTTGGAGTCAGGCCAGGTCCTCTGTGCCCCCCACCCCCAGCCGCACCCCCACCCCCAGCCCTTCTTCCCTCCCACTGGCCTTGGTCTCAGCACAGCTAGGCTTGCCCAGCCTGCTCTCTACCTTATGTCCAGACCTTCCGGATCCTTGGCAATCATGTTGCCCACTTTGGTGCCTATGGCCACGTCTTCACTGACTTTTGCTTGGAATATGTGCAGGGGAAATTGAGGGGCTTCGTTCACATCTGTCACAAAAAGGGTGAACGTGGCGAACGAGCTGGCATTGTACTGAACACCAGGCACCAGAGGCTCCGGATTTTCCGCTTGGAACACAATGTTGTGAATGGCTGTCGTTTCAAAATCAAGAGGCTGTGTGGGGGGAAAAACAGAGAAAATTAACTTGGGGAGGACTCATTCCCTATAAGATTCATTCCCTATTCTCCTTTATTTTTTTTAAAATATATTTTATTGATTTTTTACAGAGAGGAAGGGAGAGAGATAGAGAGTTAGAAACATCGATCAGCTGCCTCCTGCACACCTCCTACCGGGGATGTGCCCGCAACCCAGGTACATGCCCTTGACCGGACTCGAACCTGGGACCTTTCAGTCTGCAGGCCGACGCTCTATCCACTGAGCCAAACCGGTTTCGGCTCCCTATTCTCCTTTAAACACTCTCACAGAGCAGCGGTTCATTGAGTCAGCGCCAGCAAACACCTACTTCTCACAATGATAATGGAGCCATGAAAAAGTCTGTGCTGCAGGATTTATCAGAGCTTTTAAGGCGCTAATATGCATGCAGACTCTCCTAGAAGAGCCAAGCAATGCAGCACTCCTCCAATTTATCTAACACTGGGACAGTTCCTTCACTCATTCAGCAGAAACCTATTGATTCTTTCAAGCGTGGAAAATGCTTAGAGATGTCCCCATTATATGGAGAACTATTTTAGAGGAACCTCGGGATCCAAATCCTCAAGTAAAAGTCCTTAAACTCATGGAGAGTGGGAGAGGTTAGAGAGATGATCGAAAGATAGATGACCTGCTCTTGTTCCAGATCATTCTAGACAGAGCCAGAAATGAAAAAAATCAAAAATCCAATTTTGGTTTAGTGTGAGGAAGAATTTTAATAGGGCTACATAGAAAGACAGTCAGAGTTGCTTCAAAAACAGTTCTCAACTCTGGAAGGTTTCAAGAATGGGCTTAAACAACATGCGACAACCTAGCACAGAAAGGACTGAAATATCATTTTTAAGCAATTGGTTCTATGGGACTTTGAAGGTCTCCCTAAAGGCACAGAGTCCACGATTCTATGGGAAAAACTGCCAATCCTAAAGAGTGGAACCACCCCTAAAGGTGGACTTCTTAACTGGGATTGAAGGGCTTCTGGCGATCTGTGGACCCCTAGAAGCCAACATCTAAATATTATATGTATGTGCAGATGTGAATTTTTTTCTAATGATAGTATAAGTAGTTCCATGAGAGTCTCAGTGGTACCCAGGACCTCAAAAAGATGAAGGAACTGAAGCAAAGCCCCAAAGGTACATTCTAGATTATGGGAACGCACTATTTTGTTCATTCTTCCATGCCTACAGCACCCAGGACTTCTTGGTGAGCTGTCAGTCCTTTAGTTTATATCTATTCATACCATTGATTAAATAAAAACGTTAATATCCATTTGTGAAGAGAAAAACTCATGGAGGTTTGACACATGATTGCATTAGCTCAGCCTGCCCTTCCTTAATATCTGAAAAAAACTCTCCCCCTGAGTCAGAAGTTGGCTCAGTGCTGTCCTCTCCAGGTTGGCTTCCCCGATCCCCACCCTCCATCCCCAAATGGATGAACTCCACATCCTCTGCAATCTCAGTACCCGACCAGGATTCTAATTATGTTGTTATCTGTCTCAGATTCTACTGTCCATGAGTTCTCTGAGAGGAGAAATGGTGTTATGTTCATCATTGCTTCCTGTCTCTTCC